GGGAGAGGGAGAGAGAGAGAGAGAGAATCTGGATTGTGGTTTTGACCATGTAAAACTAGTGTGGGTGAGTTTGTGGATTATGTATATTCAATTAAAGGGCAATGTTTTGTTCCATTTGTTGATTATAGTTTAGGATACGGTTTCTATGAGTCCATGTAGAAATGAGTTACCTCTTAAAATTTTATTTTTGAGATGGATTTTTTTATCTAATTTTTAAGGACTTGCAATTTCTAATAAGGAGATCATGAATATGAAAAATAAATAAATTTAAAAGTACGTATTCTATAAAGAAAACATTTGTACAGGTAGTTCTAATTAATTTTAAATGGACCATCTATTTGCATCCATCTTTAAGATGGATGGTTTATACCTCAAGGGCCGTAAATGTAGAAATGCAGTCCCCACCGTATGAAACAATTTTCCTTTAGTTTGATCATGCCAATTCCTTTATGTTTGCTTGTGGGAAATCTCTATCTAGATGATCTTTGTGGGCATATGTCCCTATACAAGTTATTTCGTGATAAAGTGGCTTCGTACCCATGGTTTTGTATCCAGTTTCTAAGAAATCTACCTGATGGAGCGAGATTTTCGATGAACCAAATGGCCCTCTAAATTTTCTCTTATTTTATTAAAGAGGCTGCGTAAATTTCAAATCCACATTTAGAGAGAGGAAGAGAGTTGTTACTCTTGTGAGAAAAAACACATCACATTAGTGGATTATAGCCTAAAAAAAGTCATGATTTTAAAATTTTCCTTGACTCATCTCAATCCCCATGAAAGAGGTAGGTTGTATTAATTAGATAGCCAATGTAAAACTTTTTCAAAATTTTTCATGAATCCTAAATCTACGTTATCTTTGATAAAGCATAATGATAAACAAAGATTCATATATACCCAATCCCAAATAATTGAGAAAAGTATAGGATGGTGATGATACACTAGATTATAGTTTATGGTGCACCTCAAGAACGAGAGAGAGAGAGAGAAAACTGTTCAGGCGAAGCACATTGTACGCGCATATTGTGCAACTTATATGAGTAGGTTAACATAATTATTAAAAGATTGGACTAGACCACCCGATCTGATTGGTCAGACCACCTGCCGCTAAAGCACTTTCTAAATTGTATCCATGTATTTCATCTTCTCACAGATGGGTATACTTCTAGAACTAGAGTGAGCAACTTTAGCATTAATAAATAATTAAATGTATTATTGCACAATGAATTTAAAATTGTCATACATATGAATATTAAAATTCATATAAAGCCCTGAAATAAACGCATACAATCTATCTTATCGATGATGATTTGCCAATAAATGATTTTTCGCCAACAGCATTTTCTTCTTCTTTAAAGAAGATTTTCTGATCAAATCTCATGAATGCCTTTTAAAAAAGGTGTGATTTGTATGGAGCCGAGGCTCTAAACAATCAAAATAAAGTGCACCTTCAAATAGCATCAAATAATGTAGTTTCAATACTAAAAATCTTTATGATAGCCTTAAAATATATTTTCATTTTTTATTATAAATTTTAACACTTCAAAAATAGTATAGATTGAACATATCTTTGAAAACTGTCAATCCAAAAAATGCATTCCAAGATGCACTATTTCCAAAATTTGAAATCCATTTTTTTCTCGTGCCCATGAATCTTGATGTCAAGATGATCAATTTGAAGATATTTGAACATCAAAACAATCTCTTCTAGAGAAAATTTTTAAAGTGGGGTCAAATTTGATTGTTTAGAACCTCAGCTCTATATAAACTTCTTTTTAAAAATACCTCTAAAAACCTTAGCTTGGAAAAATTTGTATAAGGTTGCAACTTTAAAAGGTAGGATTAAGATACAAACAAAAAATCCATTATCAAATGTTGTTTTGAAATTGGAAAACCCTTCAATTGATTATCTCGACATTAATATTTATAAATATGAAAAAAAAAAAAAAACAAAATCAATTCCCAAAAATAGTGCATCTAGTGTCATTTTCAAGATCTTCATATATTTATTGATCCAACTGATTTAAACCAAATTTGAAATCTAAAATTGTATAATTAGAGATAATGAATTCCTGGGCCACCCTAAAAAATTTCAACACCAACATTACATTGTATGAAAAAATTTGGTGGGGAAGTTGCAACCTTGTACAAACCACATTGTTTAATATTATTGGGACAAGTTTGTCGTAAAACTTGGTACGAACTCCACTAAACTAGTCTTATAGGTAACTTGCATACAAAAATGAAAAGTCTCTATACATCTTGATACAGTTGTTAAAAAAGATAGTTTCATACCAACCCCCCAAAAATGAAAAGTCTCTATACATCTTGATACAGTTGTTAAAAAAGATAGTTTCATACCAACCCCCCCCCCCCCGCCCCAGCAGATTATGAGCAAAAACATATATCCAAGATAGTTAGTTTCATACCCCCCAGCAGATTATGAGTAAAAACATGCGAGAGGATGTCCACCCAAACAGAATCATAATGAGAGAGAGAGAGAGAAGCCATAGGACTGGAAGACTCATCTTCAAAAAACCAAACAATCAAACACGCTGAGAGATTGGTACCCAAAAATACCCTTGTATTAACCTAAAACTACTTGGATTAAGCTTCCTGCAGTATGCAATCGTTCGGCAAACGTGAGAAAGCCTCCCCCACCCCCACCCCCACCCCCACCCCCACCCACCATTGGGCTCGCAAATAATACTTGAAAGGCAAATAATACTTGAAAGCTACACACATACTGTACGTACAATACTCAAATCCCTTAAGAAAATTTGAGGCACGTGAACTGGAGAAAAGGTGAGACCCTAATCCGCAAGATATAAAGATGTGCTCTCGTATCATAACCCATAAACCCATGTTCTAAAAACAGGCCAGCTGGCTCCGAACTAGAGGGGATGGCTGCATCTAAGACCCACCTCCACATCCCCCCACCGGCTCACACTAGTTTATTTTTTTTAATGATTTTGATTTCTATATAAATTTCACCAAAATAACCAGCCAATTCTAATCCAAATCAGTTTTTTGAGCACTTAAACGAGTGGCAACAGATTGGACTGGGTCCAAGGACAACCCCATCCTAGACCTGCCTAGGTTTCACATGGATCCAGACTCGGCCAGGTTCAAGTCAACCCATCAATCTGCGGGTCGACTCAGACCCAATTACCACTTCTCTATCTAGACTAACCCATAATGACATCCATGTCTAATGAAGCTTCGAGTGCTAGGAAGTTACGCAACGTACAATCAAGAGTCAAATAATGCACGCGTGTCCACCATCCAGTCCACTCTAGAAAAAGAACCATTCATTTGGGAACACGACAATTATTTTTGTGAAAGTCCTCACAATCCAGATTTTTGGGGGTTTTAGAACTTAAAACAGACCCTAAACCACTGCAAATCTATTTCAGCAAAGCTCCAAGTTCCATAAATAATATGGAGCTCCAAAAGTTGTATAAGATCTGATGAACCCTAAACAATTGAAACAAGAGATGTAAAAGGGTGCAAGAAAAATCATTTTTGCGGCACCAAATTAACTTTTCTTTTACATTAAATACCTAGTAATGAGATGATGACTTTCTTTCAAGTTTCGGATTTTGGATCCAAAATCCTTCTCCATGATGCGTTCTGGGTGCTGCAAAACCCACCATTCCCTTATTACCCAATGCCTCTTGCTTTGGTCATAGGGTACTGAATCTAGCGAATGTAACTAATTTATTTAAGGTCAAATTTATTCAAATGGTGCCCAACACACCCACAGGCACAAAAAGGTGAGAGAAAGCAAGTTATATATAATTCAAAGCGCCGCAATAATTATCAAAGAAACTGGGGTCATTACAAGGCACACTTGCATGAGATGACATACATTTCAAGGAGACTCACCCAGGAAATGCTAGCTGCAAAAGGAATCGCATCTCTCTCAATCAAGAGAGCACGGCCATCACATCGGACACTCTGAGAGTTACATACTCTGATCCATCAGCACTCTTGAAGTCATTGCCAGCATACTTCGAGTACAAAACAGAGCTAGCGGGACTGAGTGTTAGCGGCTTTCGGTTCCCCTCCTCATCCAAGTGTCCTGGCCCAACTGCAACCACCTGTTTTCACACCAAAATCCCAGTCCCATGGCTCAACATAACAATCACAATATAAAAGGAAACTGGAATATGGGTTCGATAAACCCAGTTTCAGATTCGGAAAACTTACTGTTCCAATGGAAGGTTTTTCCTTTGTTGCCTCTGTTAAAAGCAGACCTCCAGCTGTTTTTTCCTCTGGTTCCGCAAGCTGAGAAAACAAAGAAGACATCACCAGTAAATGAGTCACTAGCATAGAAAAATATCACAATTAATTGCTCATGATGACAATATGTAAAAAATATCCCCTTAAATAGTTACATGCTCATAATCACAATATACTTCGCAACCATTCCAAACCAAGGTAAAAATACAAACTTTCAAAGTGGCGCTTATAAATATGCAACCATGGTCAAGACACCTACCAAAAAAGAAAGCAACACAAGAAGTCACTTTATCCAAAAAAACGAAAATAGGGGCAGCCTATATCAAAGGAGGTATTTATTAGGCAAAGATGACATTCATTCAATAATACAACATCAAATAATGGAAGTTTCACCGACCTTGATCAAGACACGGTCATTGAGAGGCTTAAGATCCTTTACATCATCGGTCTCCAAAATACCAACGATGTCATCTTCCTTCAAAATAAGATGGTTCGCACCATTGAATTCAACCTCAGTCCCTGCATACTTCGAATACACTACTTGGGCGCCAGCCTATATTCAGTAACTTCTTAGTATATCAGCCAGCCAATCAAGTTTAGAATCTTGGTCATAAAAATTCATATATTTTAGCAAGAAAGGTAACAGGCATATGCACCTAGCTAGCCAAAAAAAGAAAAAGAAAAAAAAAAAACAAAAAGAAAAAGAAAAAAATTGCATATTAAAACACAAACTCATGTCTACATTCACTAGTAGGTCGAGATCCCAGCTTACTTGATATGTACGATTTTTGTTTGTAGGGGTGGGTGTGGGTAGGAAGAGAGAGAGAGAGAGAGAGAGAGAGAGAGAGGAGGAGAGTACGTTACTAACTACTAGTACTTACTACGTTTGTTTCGGACGTAAGTTTACGTTTCCGTCCC